GGTCATTGAGAAAAAGTACACCAGTATTAAAAAGCTTTTAAAGAACCTGCTCATGACAAATGGAACAGAGGAGGATTTTTTTTCATACTCACACTCATTATCCAGCTGTCAGCATTTATAATGATATCTTTTTCATTCAATTTTCTGCACATCTCTATGTTAGTCTGACTGCGGATGTGAGCGAGAATAGTATGTGTGGTGTGTGTGTACATGTCAGTCTCAAGCTCCACACACTAATATCAAGGTCAGAAGTGAGTGAGTGAGAAAGTGTGTAACCAGGCAGATGCATTCATTGGCCGTAGCACTCCGGTGACAGGTGTGAAAACGTATGTGTGTGTGTGTGTGTGTGTGTGTGTGTGTGTGTGTGTGTGCGTGTGTGTGCCTGTTTGTGAGACTGTTTGGAGTGTATATATATTCTGCAGCCACACCACTGCGGTGAAAGGTGTGATTGATGGGCCTGAAGTCATTAACATGTCAAGATGGCTGCTCCTCAACTTCCTGTCCGGAGATATAATTATATTCTACGCATGTGATGGTTGGAATAAATAAATAAATAAAGCCTCACGTCAGTTGTGCCTCTTACTATTTTTCTGTTCTCTCTTTCTGCCTCTAAATTAAATTCCACACCATATGAATAATAGGAGACTCACCTGAAATATGCAATATTCACTCATTACATTAGTATTCGGACCTCAAAGACAGATTCCAAAGCTTTGTTTTTGCCTAATAATAATGTTTGGTCTTGTTTTGTTTACTCTAACATCATAAAGAAATATTCCATTCTGTGACTTGTAAGAATATTTAAGATGTGACCTAAGAAGCATCGGTGCACTCAGCACTCAGCATGTTTTATGTTGAGAGGCTCTTGCCTGGGTGGAAGAGAAGAGTTCGGCCTTGTCGATGCTCCCGAGTAACACAAACTTGGTCTAACTCTCGTCTGGTAAAGTGATGATACAAGGATATAAATCATGTGGAGCTGATAGTGTACATAGCTGAAATGATTGTTCTATAAGTGCACTAAGTCGACCTGTGGTGTAGGTCTCTACGTAGACACACCGTAGCCTGAGGCACACCTTCCCAGAAATGTAACTACATGTCACAGCAACACACACCTTATGTTTATTTTTGTAAATGAAACATTTCCTTCAGTGGAAACAAAGCTTTTGTTTAATTCAATTTCACAGATAAGAAAATACATTTATATAAATTCTGAAGAAGTTAAAGCCTCCACAAAAATTCATTCCAAGTCTGGTGTGTGATTTTCCTGGCTTCATATGAGTAGAGAAAAAGTCCACTAGCTGCTAGGCTAATATATGCAATGGGAAAATGTCATAGGCTTACGCTAATAACATTAGCATGTGGTATAACGTGTCTAGTACAAGACAGTTGTTTTGTCAGTGAACCTCATGAGTTATAATGGAGCCAAATTTTGTAACGTTACCTCTGTTAAATGTTACTGTTGTTGAAAATCTCCTCCTTTGACAGACTATGTTACAAGTTAATAGATAGGCAAGATATCTACATGAAAATACAGGGCCATTATACTACTGTAACCTGATGCACTTATGAGTTGCACCCTTTCTTATAATCTGAGGTGTTAATCAGTGTATATAATATGATACACAATTTGATATTAAAAATTGTACCATGTAGATTATGTATCCTGTGTGTATATATTTTTGTATGTACACACGCATCCACATATTTATGTATCTAATGCTCTGTCTCAGTTGTTTTCCCTCTGTCCTGTCTTGTTGTAGTTTGCTGTGGTTTTTCAACCTGTGGTGTATTTTATTGTTTGTATGTTGTTGTTTTTTATTGTTGTTGTTTGTTTGTTTTGCTTGTTATTGGTTTGTTTGAAAAATCAATAAAAAAGAAAATTATATATATTTTTTTTTTTTACTGTTGTTCCTTTAAATTAAAAAAGGGGGAACATCCTCTAGCCACTAGGCTAACTGATGCAGTGTAAAATGTCATAGGCTTATGCTTATAATGTTAGCATGTTTTATTTGAGTGGAAAATGTGTCTAGGAAAAGACTAGCGTTTTGTCTGTGAACCTTGTGAGTTATAATGGAGCTGTATTTTGTACTTTTGTTGAATATTGTTGATATAAGCCATGTTTTATGTGTTTAGTGGAATCACTTTGTCAGCTCTCCACAATGTAGACAGATAGTGAGAGACAGTTTCGATGTTTTAGGTAATATGTATTAATATGAGCAGCGACAACGGTGGTGTGGTGGTTAGCACTGTCGCCTCACAGCAATAGGGTTCCTGGTTCGATCCCAGGTGAGGGAGCCCTTCTGTGCGGAGTCTGCATGTTCTCCCAATGTCAGCGTGAGTATTCTCTGGGTACCCCAGCTTCCTCCCACAGTCCGAAGACATGCATAGTTAATTGGTGACTCTAAATTGTCCGTAGGTGTGAATGGTTGTTTGTCTCTATGTGTCAGCCCTGTGATAGTCTGGTGACCTGTCCAGGGTGTACCCTGCCTCTCGCCCAATGTCAGCTGGGATAGGCTCCAGCCCCCCCCCCCCCCCCCCACCCCGCGACCATCAAGAGGATAAGTGGTTAGAAAATGGATGGATGAATTAATATGTTCATTTTGTAACAAGGACAGCCTATAAAATGGTGTTAGGCTATAAAAATGGACTGTATTATAGCACTCTTATCTAATTATATACTCTTTTACACTCTTATCTCAAAGTTTTTTATGACATATAATTAACACTGTGACTTTGTGACCTGTATATTGTTCTGTTTCTTATTTTTATTTTCTCTGTATGTCTCTTCCATTGTCCCTCGTCGCTGTTCCATCGTCATTTTTCCCCAGATCCATTTTCTATCTCTCTACTTTTTTGATAAATTTAAAGCATCTCTGCAGTGCATTGTGAACAGACTGAAAAGACGGGAGAGTGACAAAGATCTTGACCCAGATTCAATCTCACATCGCTCTAACAGCAGTATCAGTATGAGCTTTAGTCCACTGAGGCCACAAAAATGTACTCTAAATTGGCAAAACCGCCGAAATGTGAATGGCATATTCTGCTTGAGCATATTCATTAAAATGAGACGTGCAAGTGGTTATTGCTAATTTGTGTTACTTCAGGCTTTTGTTTTCATTGTTTCATTTTTGTCTGGAATATTGGGCTTTTTATTATTAATTTCAAATTAATTTGTTTTAGCCTTAAAAGCTATTTTTCATAAGCTTTTCTTAATGAACCAAGGGCTTCTCATAGACTAAAGTCTCTCACCCTCATTAGTTTTATTCTCCAGACATCTATATAATTATACTCTGGCGGTGTAATCTGTTTAATCACACGTCTAAACTAAACTAGATGTCCTAAATCATCCCATGCCAGTACACAGCCCCTCAATCACCCAGATTCCTGCCAAGCCGTCCAAATCAAAAATGGAAACCCAATTATTTAAAGAGTGACAAGCATGCTTTGAAATGATTGATAGCAAAGTTGGTTTAACTAATTCCAGCACTGCTTAGATAATAGTGGGTAGCTTAATTTCTTTGAGATGACAAACCAAAGGCGCATCCTCTAAATGATTTACTAACTGCTCTGATTGCTTATACAATGAAATTGACAACACACAGCCTGGTGAGTCCATGTTATCTAAGAAGACAGTGGTTATGGGGGCAACATCCTGGCAGAAAAGCAACATGGTAGCATTAAGTGTTATGGCTCATTCATACTCCCTTTACAAATGTTATAACCACCACTGCCCACATACTTCCATGCTTCCTTTATGTTGGCATAGTGTATCCAATAGATGGCTCTAGAGCGCAGAGACAAGAGTTTCTGACAACAACCAGGTTGAGGTTGTGATAATGTAGACTATCTTTGGAGCCAGCGTTGTACACGACAATTGTCTGTGAGACAATTAAATCATCACGATATGTCGACAGGGAATTATTTTCACTATATTACAAATTTGTTCCATTCCACCATTTTCAAAATGTCTATATGTGTGTGTGCTACGGTTGTGTTTCGCTTGAACTGTGCTACACTGCCCCCACAATTTCAGGCGGTGCTGCTCCATTTTGTCCGTATCTGTAAGCTCTCAGAATGCACACAGACAGAAGGATCTGTCCATGCTCATATACCCAGCAGGAACTTCCAGGGCTGTAAAATGAAGTGAACTTGGAAGTTCCAAAAATTGCAGTTCTTTGAGTAACCATTTGAGGCTGGCTCCAGAGGCCAGTATACCCCATAGACCCCCATGTTAAAATGCCCAACTTTACAGCAGAAATAAACATGTTTACAGCCTGGTGCAAAAACAGTTTTGGTCTATTTAGCTTATTTCCCTCTTCAAGGCAACTGTGCGAGTGGTGAAATTTTATATCCTTCCACCATTATTAAGAGTGGGCTGAATATGTCATCATATGTCCTCAAAAGCTTGTTTTGTCAACACTTCAAAATGTCCATATGAAGTAAAATAAATGTGTTTTTTTTGTTTATAAATGTGTTGCTGTGAGCATCTTCAGGTTCTGTGTCACCACAAAAGTCCTTACATATTCAGCCTGTGTCAAAGTTTTGGGGAGTTTCTTGTCTCCTTAGCTTGGGCTGAGTCTACAACCTTTCGATGCAGTCCAAGCAACCCAATATATGTTTTCCTGATAGCGCTTTAGCAACTTCATGCTTTTGATGCCGTTAAAGAAATCTTAACAAACAGAAAAGGTTTGCAGCTTGACTCATCGCAGACAATAGAGGCTGTGGTCAGGTTTGATTCATGGCGGTTACACTGGATTCCAGTAATGACGAGTCACTATTAAAATCCAACATAAATCCAAGCCGACCACAGCTGGCATTCTGTGTGAAGAAGGAGCCAACTTTCAATACTACAGGGAGTGAAGGGCTGAAACTCACAAGAATTAGTTTAAGGTTGGAGTAAGCCTCAGGGGAATACATGTGGAAATCAATACAATATCCTCACAAGGATAGTATTACAGGTTTGTGTGTGTGTGTGTGTGTGTGTGTGTGTGTGTGTCTACCTGTTTTAAGTCCAGAGTGATCGTCACATAGTGGTACTCCATTCCATTCTTGATAGAGGGACTTTGCCACCAACGGTTGGTCCCGTCTATGGCATATTCAATGGGATGTCGCTCTGTACACACACACACACATACACACAAAAGAGAGGGAAATATTAGTTTTTTAATTCATTTTTATTCTATTTTTAAATATCTGAAAATCATGTTAGTTGTGAGTCCAGCATTGTCCGAGGGGAAAATGCTCCTCTTCACTCTTTTTTTTTTTTAAATAAAATCTGCCATTTCAGCCATTGAAGGCCAGATATCAAAAGCATATTTTTCTACCTTTTAAAAGAAAAAATAATAGATTTCCTTTCCATTGCAGATTATTTTATTTCACTCCTGAATGAAAAAAAAATAAAGGAGTCACCCTATTTGCAGAATCTCGTCCTGGCCGCTGTTACTATTCCTCACAATAGCTTTAATGGAACAGGAGGAAAATACATTATTAGCGTATTATGTAGCAAAGGTCACTCTGCAGAACTTTTATGTATGCTGCGTGTAGGGGATTGTTTGGGTGTTTACGTGTGTGCGCGAGAGTATTTTTAAGGGAGGACGTGTGGTTTCAGGTTGACTTGCGGCTGTCAATCACCAGGCTACTTATGTGTGACATTTCTGTTTAAAAAACATGGCAACTATCCCTCGCAAAATGAAGGAGCTATATATCCTGTGGTAAAAGTCCTTTCTCTCCTCTCTTCTAACAGTATCCTCCCTCTCACCTCATTTTTTAGTCATAATTCAACATTTTGGGAAATAGTCTTTGCTTTTGAGGGTTTGATTAAAGCACATATACATTCTATAAATTTGAGCCAGGGCCAGGAGACCGTTAGCTTAGCATAGCATGATGACTGAAAACAGATACTACTGTTAGTATACAACATATGCATGTGTGCGTATGTATGCATTTGTGATTTTTTTGTGTGTGTTATAATGTTTGATCCGTGTAAGGTGAAAATATCACTTTCACAAGAATGAGACAGACTAGGTCACAGTGACCTTGACCTTTGAGCTGTGATCTCCAAAATATAATCAGTTTATCACTGAGTCCAAGTGGATGTTTGTGCCAAATTTAAAGAAATTCCCTAAAGCTGTTCTTGCAATATCGCATTCACCGGAATGGGATGGACGAACGGACAACTAACGATTAACCAATTAGCGGCATGGGTGGAACTTACATCATTGTCAAGCCAAGCGAACAATAGCATGCGAGATGAGACAGATAAGACACTGTTAGCAAAGGCTGTTCTAAATTGACACGTCCTCTCAGTATCATTGTAGTTTGTTTTACTTTGCTCTGTTCTGCTCTTAAAGCTCAAACAAAATAGGACTGTTAGCATGACCACACACTGGTGACCACTCCATTTAAGGATGTTGGTGCTCCACCTAACATGTAACGGTGAAGGGTGGGGAAGCTGTTTAAATGGAGTGTAATCCGTCAGCTAGTGGCAGCAACCGTAACGTAACGTAATTGTCAGCTGACAAAACAAACATCAATTTCGACCTCAAGACAAATAACTGCCTGCCTATACAGCAGTGTTCACTATATGATATATGTAAGCCTGAATAACATCCATCAGTCCCCTGTTTTATCAATCTCCCTTGACTTGCTTGTGTTTGTACAGCCATGTAGTCATGGTAAACACTGAGATTTGCTGAAATTTAGTGGTGGATCCAGCGTATCTGCTGGCTATGACAACTGTCAAAGACTTCGCCTACTACTACTACTCAACGCACCACAGGCATACGCTGGTGTCATCATGGTGTGGACCCTGTGAATTTACGATGACGTTAGGTTCAGGTGGACAGGTGGGTCTCTAGCTATTGGTTGGGGAAAATCGCATCCCCCTCCCCCGCGGAAAAAAATCAGTCAGAGAGGACGCAATGTCAGACTGATGATGGAAACAGAGTGTAATGAGTTGACAATTTTGTCTGCTATCAGGCAACTGCTGGGCTATTTCTTGGCCTGGTCGCCTGGTAACCTCATGGTGACAACTAGTCAAGGTGCCCAACAAGACATATTCCACCAAACTTCTATAATAGCAACGATTACACAAACAAGATGTGAACTATTAAGTTTTGGAGGTCCCGGTGAGACATCTGGAGGGAGCTCGGAGTAGAGCTGCTCCTTCATGTCGAAAGGGGTCAGTTGAGGTGGTTCAGGCATCTGATCAGGAGGCTCCCTAGGGGCCTCCTGTTAGAAATGTTTCGGGCACGTCCCATTGGTAGAAGGCCCTGGGGCAGACCCAGAACATGCTGGAGGGATTACATATCTCATCTGGTCTGGGAACACCTTGGGGTCCCCTAGGAGGAGCTGGAAAGTGTTGCTGGGGAGAGGGAGGTCTGGGGTGCTTTGCTTGGCCTGCTGCCCCCCCGACCTGACCCCGGATAAGCGGATGGATGGATGGATGGATGGATGGATAGATGGATGGAGGTCCTGGTGGGCAGATTCTTTCACCTTTTGATGCTAAGCTAAGCTAACTGTCGTCAGTGTCCAGCTTCTTATTAGAAGGGCAGATATGACAGCAGTATCCATCTACTCATCTAACTCTAAGCAGGAAAGCAAAGCACATTTCCAAAATGTCTCAGGTGTTGGTGTTAATACAGATAGAAGTTTTTAAAATGAGCATTTTGGTCTCAGTTCATCTGTCTTAAATATTTTCACATCACTCCTCTCCAGCTTTCCTTGTCGTCCTTTCTCATCCCCTTTTTGCACCAGTATATCCTATCGTCTTTTCCTCCCATCCTGGCTGACTAACTGCCTGACTGGTAAGCTAACTAAGCAAAGCTCACCAAGCAAGCAACAAAAGCTAATTTGACTCACCAGCTGACAGACGGCTTCACTGACTAAGTGATTGGCTGGTTATATGACTGTCTGAGCGGTTAACTGAATCATTGATTGACTAAATAGCTGACTGTCTAGTTGGCTGTTTGAATTATGATCGCAGGCTAATTTTGCATTGTCATCTTGTCATGTTGCGATTGATTCCTCAGTTCATTCAGTAATTATCGTTTCAGACAAAATGATTGGTTAACATCTGGCCAATCTGGCACTAATTAACTAATCTAGCATGATTAATTATTGTAATCACCATGCCTTTAAGTCGTGTGTGTGTGTGTGTGTGTGTGTGTGAGTCGTTCTTACCAAATGATTTTATACTCCTTTGGTTGCAGATTCGACACTGAGGGTTTCTGACAGGCTGGCCTGGTACATGCTCCACCAGCTTACAGAACATCTCTGGACCCATCGCACCACAGGTAGCATTAGCGGATATATCTGCCATGGACGCCAAGTTCAACACAGCTGGGAACAGTCCTGGAAAGAGAACACACAGCCATAAATGATAAAACAGCTTTATGTATCAGTACTGACGTCTGGTAAACGTATTTTTGCAGCAGAATATTAAAAAACGAATATTTTAGAAAACACACCACATATTTTAGAAAACAGGTTGATATTAATCTTCTCATTTGGCTGTAAGTTTGAAAGCAAGCAATGATTTTTCCAAAAAAATGCAAGACAATTCCATTAAGTACAGTAAATATCACAAAGATCTATGTATGAAGTTGATGAGCGAGCACACAGAAAACTGCAAATTCTGCTTACTTGTGTAGTGAGATTAGGACTACCACAAACATAGTATTGCAAAAACATGCTACTGACAAGCAACCGCCACCTCTATGTTTTTCAGGGCTCCCACACATTTTCAAAGACCATTATAATTTTTTTTTATCCCACTTTAGCGTGCATACATGAATGGACATAAGGATATTGGGAAGAAGATGAGGTAACATACGGGATGGTAAACAAAAACATTGTGACGCATGTTAGAGCTACATTACGTCGTAAGCCCAAAAAAACATTACATGACTTTTTCAAATACTTTCAATGATGTTTTCTGATTCCATGATGTTTTCAGGCCTGGAAAATGTGATGTGAAATAGCATGACTTTCCCAGGTTTTCCATGAAGAGGAAGAAGATGTACTTTATTAATCCCTGAGGGAAAATTCTATTTTTTTACTCTGTTGTCACAAAACACACAGGCCAAAATACACACACGCACAAAGAGGTCCTATGTATGTATTAAATGAAGAGATGTCAAAACGATGGGGCTGCCAAAGGACATGCCCCGAGCAGTTCGGGATTTGGTGCATTGCTAAAGGTCAAGGGCTCTCAAGGACACCTCAGCAGTGCCAGGAAGGCGAACAAGCACCTCTCCAGCTAGCAGTCCACACTCCATATTGGGTCCGGATGGGGACTTGGAATGGCGACCCTCCGGTTCCCAACCCAGGTCCCTATGGGCTGAGCTACTGCGGTCCAACTGTGGGAACCCTGCTGTTTTTATGGGAGCGCCACATGATTACACTGCTACAAATGCTAGCAGCATGACGAGGTGATGAACATCTATTTTGCTGTGAGTGCTGCATGTTTGGCATTACTTTCAGGTTGCTGAGAGCTGAAAAATACTCAACTTTGGGTAAAACGCTGCAGCTGCTCATTGCTGTCACTTTTTAACCCAGCCGTCCAATCACAGTGGAAGAGGGATGGGACAAACAAAGACAATTGTCACATCGCTGAACAACAATAGAGGAGAAATTAATAATGAACCCAGACAGACTAGCATTTCTGTCCTCTCCCTCTATGCTCTTCAGCCTTCTCTGCAACCAGAGCAAGTACTCTACCTTATGGTGACAGTTTTACTTCTACGGATATCCTGTATCATAGCAACCAATAACAACCAAAGCGTCTCCACTGAAAATACGCTGTGCCCCCATTGCACCTTATTGCCCTTCCGTGTTCTGCATTTAACAAGGAGCAAGTATTTAATTTGTTTAAAACTGTCATCTTTACTATTAAAAAAAGCAACAATATATACCTTAGCTGAACGTTAGATTTTATTTACAAAGCAATAAAATCAGGATAAAAGTACTTTGCAAAAACTTCAATAGATGAACCAGACAGCTGTATTTATTGATATTGAGTGACTTCAGATAGATAGAGGCGCAGCTGGCTTTTTCTTCAAAGCTAAAAAACAGTTAAATAGCTAAAATGCAGTAAAGTACAGCAGGGGTTATTAGGAACACCCAGCACACCCTGTGCTGTACACACAGGGGTTTTGGATTTCAAATCATTAAAATGATGTCAGTTTCCCTGTGAAGTCTTGTTCGGAGCGAGCCAGCTAGCGCTTGTATGGCTGTTGTTCTGAGGTTATGAGTAATTAGTGTGGAACATGAGGGGGAGGGAAGGTGTTTCATTCTATCCAAATTAATCTGGGTGTATTTTCAGTGCAGTCTAATGCAGTTAACATCATTTAGCCCTCACAGATAGCGAGAGCCCGTATTCACTTCATCTTTGGGTAACAGAAGCATACAGGGAGCAGTTTTTGGCCAGCTTTCAACTGTGCAGACTTTGGGCAGTGCACCGCTACTATATCAAAGGACTATTCATTTGCATTATGTTGCTCAAGCAATTTTTTTTTCTCATTTCCTGTCCATGGATATTTTTCACCACTGGAACAGAATGTAAACTTGGAGAGAACATACATTATGGAAAAGTACAAAGATTTTTTTCTTGGACATTTTTGGAGCCCATCAATAATGTTATACAACATGACTCTGTTTTCCTCCCTAGTGCTCTTACAGATGGTCGTTCTATTAAACAAAAAACCTCAGAGAAGACAAGAACACATCTCAGATTGTATTAAACTCATGGAGCTATACGACTACCACTGAGGGGAGTTTGCTCCAGCCGTGATGAGCTCGCCTGGGTAGTAAATACAGAGTAAACCTCTTCTCCTACAGTACCATTCTGGGTGGAAAGAAAATAACATGCATGCTGTAATCCCTGCAACATTTTATCAGCTGCACAAGTTTTTACTGGTGAGCCACAGTGCCTGGATTTCTTATTTGGGCTGAAAATGACAATTATTTTCATTTTTTGCCACTTATTTTCTCAATCAATTACCATGAAATGTCAGAAAATAGTGAACAATCACAATTTTCCAAAGCCTAAGTTACTGAAATAGCTTGTTTTTTTTTCCAACCAAAAGACCAAACCCAAATATGTTAAATTTATATCATAAAAGACAAGTAAATACTGTTATTTGAGAAAAATAAAGCACTGAACCTTTGACATCTATGCTTAGAGGAGCAGTGTGTAAGATTTAGGGAGATCTAGGGTGCTTTCACACCTGCCCTGTTTGGTTCAGTTCAGTTGAACCCAAGTTTGTTTGCCCCCTATGTACGGTTCGTTTGGGCAGGGGTGAACACAGCACACTCATGTGCGCACCAAAATAACCGGAGTTACAGTTACAGCCAGTTACAGCCAGTTACAGCCGAACTCTGGTGCGGTTCGTTTGTGGTGAGAACGTGTTCCGACCTCGATCTGAACCAACTGCAGTCACATGACACATTGTTTGGGTTAAACATGAGCATGTTACAGTCCTGGAGGATTATTAATGTGCGCCTGTACTGCCTTAATATGCACATTCAGCACATCCAATGCATCAAAACATTGTTTTCTAGTTGGAGCCGCGCCTCGTTTTCAAACTGTATGGTTTGACTAAAATGAACAATGACAGCAATATAGTCCACGATGAGCAGCGCTAAAATCAACCTGCGTAGTTGTCCCTCCATTGTGACATTAGAAAGTGTCACATTTATCTTGCAAGTGTACTCTTCTTCAACGTTTTGTGGATTTTTCCCACATGGAAATTCTGACCAATCAAGAGCAGCTTTCTCGCACAAGGCATTTGATCTGGTCCGCTTGTAAATGCTGCCGTGAGAACATGAACCAACTCTAGGCAATTATGCAACTGTGTAACAAAATGAGTCCTAGATACAGACCAAAGCAAGATGACTCTGGGTCTGAAAGCACCCTTAGTGGAGTCCAGCAGTGAGAATTGTAGATTTCAACTGGCTGAAACTTCTCCCGATTAAAATTTCTTTAGTGTCATTAAGGAGGTTTTTACCAGTAGCTAAAATATCCACAGAGGTCTCTCCAAAACAAATAAACCTGGTGATTAACACCGGTAAAAACACCAAACAAAGCAGCTTCATCTTAGGAATCAGTGTTTCTCCTACACTGTTTGGAATGTCAGAGTCAGGCCATGCCTTGCACATGCTAATGTGGGCGTACCTTTTTTCTCTGATAAGTCAAGATTCCAGATGTTTAGGTTTTTATCGGGAGCCAGATAATTCACAAAGGTCTCTTCGTGTCCATAACAAACGGATGGGGTCTCATTTATAAAACAAAGTGTAGGATCCATACTAAAAAAAAACATACGTATGGACAAAAGCAAAAAATATTCAACAATTTCTACAATCAGGCTGCCACCTCACCATTTTTAAAGATTATTTTTGTGGGTTTTTTGCCTTTAATGGACAGGACAGTGTGTGAAATGGGGAGACAGAGAGAGAGTGGGGACTGACATGCAGCAAAGGGTCGCAAGCCAGACTCGAGCCCGAGCCCACGACCGCTGCGGCGAGGCAATGCCTCTGTACATGGGGCGCCAGCACTAACCACAAGGCCCCACCACCACCTCACCATTTACGTCACCAAAGTCCCGTCTCCAAAATGTTCGTAAGCATAGGTCAAAGTTTCTACCATCAAGTCTGTTTTTATAGATCACAACTTTTTGCATGGGAAGTGGCATACGCCTCTTTCAGACCTTGTTTTGCACATATGCAATGTTTATGATTGAGGTCCCAGGTGATTAAAACTGGTAAAATACTGAATAAAGCAGTTTCACACTAAGAAAAAAACCTTAAAACTGTACCTTTAAAATGTGATGAAAATGATTCACAATCAAAATATAGCATAATAATTAAACCTTTTCTTCTAATTTCCAAATGAATTTATGACATGTCTTCATTTGAAAGCCCCTCAATATTATGTGCATATGTTATCAAATGTGCTACTGCTAACAGCCAGAAAGCCAAGTAGCTTGTGTTATTCAAAGAAGAAATGAAGTGATAACCTCTTGAGCCAGGGAGCTCCAAACAAACTCATCATTATTTACGTCTACATGTCATCCTCCAAGAGACTGCTCTGTGTTGTTCCCATAGTGAGAGAACATTAGTCTCAGAGTGAATGACAAGCTTGTTGGACTTAGAGTACTGGAATGCTCAACGTACTGTGCACATGGTTCACATTTCCTGTCTGGCAAACACACACAGGCAAACACATGCACGTACGATGTAACGTCAGGTCAGCAGCTTTATAGTTAAACAACATGTGCACTGATGTACAAACATAAACACAGAGACGCATAAATGTACAGCAACTGTACACAGAGGAGACAGACGGGGGGGAA